GATCAGCCATTCCTCCAGCCATGATTGTAAATAGCTCTCTGCTTTTGGTTTCCCCCCTTTCAGGGCAGAAGTTATCCAAGTGGATCTAGAATATGTGTGCATTTAAGGAGGATGATTTGTGTGCATGTGGTTTTCTTCACATCTTCCAATCTGTAAGAATTCTCCCTACCTCCATCACTCATCAATCAAGAAACCCTTTGTCATGCTGAGGTATGGCATTGCTTCTGCTGAAAACCTCAGATTCAGACACACCCCACACACCCTGAGACACACACATCCACACACACATGCACACCCTTCCTCACCCTTGGGAAGCAAGCTCCATTCAAAGTGGTTTAAAAATAGCACTAATCCATTGAGCTCATTTTTCAGGGACGTTATTTTAAGTAGAAAAAAAGATATCCTGGTCTTTGAGAGGGAGAAAGGGTAAACGTCATCTCGCCTTAAAAAGTCCTGATAATGTCGCTGGAGAGTAAGCATTTGCAGTCTTTGTTGAATTTTCTCCTCCACCCACCATTCAACAAAAGTTGTTTATTCCCGAATACCGTGCCATCTGGGTATTTATAGAGGTGAGTTTCCTCTTCAGGTGGAGAGCAGAAGGGAAAGCCGCAGTAGCAAGCCGGACACTCCCCTCTGGGCACTCCCCACCGCCAGAACTGACGCCTTCGAGGGCGGTGGATTTGTGAATCAACTCCTCCTTCCCCCACACAGGGGAGCCCCTAAATGGCTGCTGGCCATTTGCAAAGGGTTGTGTGCATGTGTGTATTTAATTGCAGGCTTATTTGTTTCTGCTCTGGGAGTCTGTCCGTCTCTCTGTAACTTGGATCATTGCTCTCTGGGAAGCTGTATAGCTGGCTGATTCCGTGGGAGACCAGGCAGGATGCGTGGGCGCAGGAAACAGAAGAGGGAAAAGGAGGGAGAAAAAGAGAGCAGGAGAGAGAGAGCGGGAGCCTTAGAATCTGTTATTTGCGTCACTTGAAGAGCCGGGGCTATCTGCCCGACAAACACACAGAATTAATCCGAGTTATAGCTATAGCTGTCTATGCTACAGTGACCAGACGAGAAAGGGCGGGGAAAGGACGCGCGCCGGAGTCTGTGCACGGTCGAGTTTGCATTGGGCGTCTTGGGAGGGTTTGGGGAGGGGGCTGTCCTGCTGGGCACGCCCCTCGGGGCCCCGCTTGCCCTGTGCAGACTAGGCTGCAGCCTGCTCTGCAGCTGCCCAGCCCAAGCCTGGGGTGGCGCCCGCCTCGGCCGCCTCGCCTGCTCAGTGGCTGCGCCGAACACAAAGCGCTGTCTCCGAGCAGAAGCGTCTTCTCAGCTGAACCAGACCCACCAAAGAGGAGAATCTGCACGTGACGTCAGTAGCTGATGACTGACGCAGGCTGGCAAAGGAGACTCAAGGCGGCTGCTCCGCGCTGCCTTCATGAGTCTATTTTCTCCAGCCCCCTCGTAGTGAATTACTAGAACGCAAAACACACACACAGACACACATATGCAGCTTTCAAAATATACATTTCCAAAGGCGGTGTGTTGCAAACACAACGCGATTTTGCAAAGCGTGGGTGGGAAACGTGGGAAGGGTATGGATTTTTTTTTTTTTTTCTCATCTGGGAATCTCCATCGTGGATAGCAATAGCTTCTAGAGCTCTCCTGGGAAGCTCCTCTGGGGAAGGGGCTATGGCCCCCACCCCCTACTTTCCTCAGCATGTAGGGAATCTGATCAATGGAGACATGCAGCTCTAAGAATACAACCACTCCGACGCCTTCTGCTCGGGGGGACTGTGAGGAGCTTGCAACAGGCAGAGACAGATGGGAGTTAACCGGAGGGAGGGAGAATATAAGAAATATTTGGGCATTTTTCTGATTTGAAAAACATTTTCTGCAGTTATGCAAGTGAGTCTGGTGGTGCAGGGAAAAAAAGTGAGGAGGGGGCGCTTAATGCACATTTAATGTTTTGGACGTAAGGTTCCAACGAAATGCCTTTGTGTGTGGAGGTTTTTTCAGTACTTGCTAAAAATAGCATCAGGGTTTGATCTTGTTCCAGAAATAAACCGAGGGCTGTACTGGGATAAAAAGCCAGCGCGGGTGGAAGAAAACCTGGACATCACCGCATTCCTCCCCCCACAACTATGTCTGGAAATTAATTGTTGGATTTTTCCTCTCCTCTCTCCTCTTTCCATCCACTTTCTCTTTTCTCCCCCTGTGTTTCTCTTTCTCTCTCTTAAGGAGTTCCCGTTTGGGTAAGTAATATTATGTCATGTGCATGCCGCAGACTGTGAGTATGAGCTGACGCTTACTTTGTGCATGCTCCGGGGTTCTTTTTTGGCTGCCTTTTTCGCCCCTTCTAAAGAGGATAGTGGGACTGAGTAGGGGGTAAGGGGTGTAGCTGTGTGCGTGTGTATGTGTATAATGAATTTGGGGCTGCATGCAAAGAAACCGAGAGAGGGAATTCTTGCAGAGCCGGGAATCACCCTCACGAATCTCTGAATCAATAGCGGCTGCAACTCTCTCTCTCGTTATGGGTCGGCGCTGTTGAGCTTGGTTTTCTCGATGGCCCCCTCCCCTCCCCATTTTCTCTGTCTTAAAGGGTGGCCAGACACGACTTAATGGGCCATATCTCTGAGAGATTAATGGAGACTGTGCAACATAGATCAAAATTGCATGGATGGGGTTGGGTAAAGACAGGGAAAAATCTCTACTCCTTTGACAAACCTCCCCGCTGGCTCCGGTCCGGGAACTGAGGACCGCGACCCTAGTTCGGGCTGGCCCAGGACTCGGTAGCTGTCCACGGAAGATAGGTGCTGAAAATGCCTTGGTCCTCAGCGAGTTCAGTTCCGAGCGCCAGGGGGCGGGGTTGGCGCCAGCTGCGGGTAGCCCCGCCCTGGATGCAGGAGAGGGACACGGGGACGAGGGGGTTAAGGATGTTCAAAGGGGATAGTCGTGACTTCGGTGAGAGCTTTGGGGGAAAGGAGGGGTGAGTGGGAAGGAAAGGAAAAAAATTTAAAGGAGGGGGAGCGAAGTGTTAGATTCGAGGATGAGTCTAGGCCGGGCGTTTCAGGAATGGAAGGCCAATGGCTCACCGGCTTTCCCTGCAGAGGCCAGGCACTATCCGGGTCTCCATTCCCAGGATACCGCACCTTCCCGCCAGTGGGTTTGAAAGATTTCTCCTCGGTGATGGTGACTCTCAAAATAACAGGCCAATAGGTTGCTTTATTCGGACCCTCGTCCCCTCCCACTTCATGCCCCCCGTATCCCCGTATTCTGTAATTCCCGGGAGGTGTGTAAGGTAGTGTGGTGTGACATTTTTCTTATTATTCCCCCTTTTCGCATGCTAGTCATAGAAGCCCCAAGTGAGTTGGTGGAATGAGTGAATTAGAAGCCAAAGCACAGGAGTTGTTGGTGCGATGCGCAGAGAATCCAAGCTAGGGAACATCGCGGGGCGCCTTAAAGCCAAAAGCCAAAGGAGTCTAAATCAGCCTGAAGGGAAATTGGGGAGGAGGTGTTCTCTAAGTTGCCAAATGTTATTGGGAATACCATCAACTCTCTGGGGTTGTGGGCTGGACCCAGACTGAGATTCACTGCAATCAGCTCCAGACACTTTGGCCGAATCTGTGGCCAGACAGGTGAGGAGGGAGGAAGGTTATCAGAGGCAGAGGGGGAATGAATATCACGCGCACACAAAGACATTCATGCTGATTAACTCCAGGAGAGGGAGAATAAAAGTACATCCTCAAGCTGGCCCATGAGGATGGGCTGTAGACAGTGGGAGAAATGAAGCACTCTTGCAGGTCTGCAGTAAGCTTTGTGTGCATGCAGGAATATTTTATATGTTTATTTAAAAATATAAACTTGGGACGGTGAGGTAAGTATTTGTGGTGGCTAGCCTTCAGGAGAGAGGAGACTAGGTCTCTCTGCTTCATTCACCCCTGCCCTCTGTCAACAGCCTCTGGCTTTAGTGACCTGACCTCCACACAGGGTAACCGGGGTGCAGCCTGGGCCGGGGGATGAGAGGGTGGGTGAGTTATGTTTAGCTCAGAAACCGTCCCTCTCTCGGAAGATTCCCTGGCTGAGACTGAGTATTCAACTCATAATAGTAACAAGGGCTGTTACCGATGTGCAGAATAACACAAATAACGCTGCAACCCACACTTTGTCTTGACAATTCAGTTCAAACCAAAGCTGCTCACAGCCTCTCGGCCCACCCCTCGGCCTCCTCGTCATTCACGGGGACCTACTCCTTCCCTTTCCCAAGCCTCGCCCCTCAGCCCTGCAAGTTTGCGTGGTTGTGTTTACAAATTCTGCCACAATTGCAAAGGAAATAGAGGTTGGGGGAGCGGTCGGGGCGGGAGTGGTGGTAGCGCAATAAAACACTTGCAACACGTGGAGCGGTGGTTGGGGGGAGGTGTCCAAGAGTCAAGAACGGGGCGGAGGGACACCCCATGTCCTCATTTCCCCCCCCCGTTCTTCCCCACCCCTTCCCATTGCTTGGCACAATGCACAAGTTTACCCCCCGAACTGGATCCTATTAAATAATTCAATGGTAGCGGTGTAATTTTGGTTGGAACCAGCACGGATTCCCAAGTCGTGACTGCAAAAAGTGAGTAATGCGCGCTGGCTGCGTCATGGCTCTAGTCACAGTTCATTCCGAACTGAGAAGGAATCGTGACTTCGCCTGGAGACGTCCCCTACATGGGAGATGGGGGGCGGGGGGGCCACCAAATCAGTGGGGACGGGGGTGGGGGGAAGACCTATCCAATGAAAACCGCTGCCAGGGGGGCATTTGAACTCCGCCGCTTGCTGTCTCGCTGTCCCCTCTCTGCCCCGCGCACCTCGCTCCCCCCTCCCGGCCGGCGCTCGCAGTGGCGCGCCTGCTCGCTCTCCCGCTACCCGACGAGTCCTCAACAAGTTGGAGGAAGGCAGGAACGCAGGGGTTAAGCTCGGAAAGCCGCAATTACCAAGATCGTGACCCTCCCACACAGTACAGTAACTTATATACTTACCTGGAAGAGCCCGCTTTGCCGCCGGGCAAACACCCGTGGGGGGCGGGGAGGGACCGGAGGGAGCTGGCCGGCAGGAGAGGTGCTCCTTCCAGCTGGCTGCAGTGCGGACGGGACCGGCGCGCTCCCGTGGCCCCCAGACCGAGGTAAGGAGCAGGGGGTCGGCGCCCGGGTCGGCTGGTAGTCGGTCGGCTCACTGGTAGTCTGAGCAGAACTTTTTTTTCCCAGTTGCCCCGCGCCGCGGCGGCGGCTGGCGCAGACCGCGGAGCCCCCTCCGGCGCGGCGGGCGCGCAGACGCTCGGAGGGTGTGTGCTTGCGTCTGTCCGTCGCGGAGCCTAGGGGATGCCGTGGGAGGGTGAGTGGGTCGCGGAGCTGCAGGAGGGTGATGGTTGGGCGAAGGGGGTGGGTCGACAGGGACTTGAAGACAGTGCCTCCACCGTCTAGAGATGTTTTCTCCGGGCGTGCTGGGCAAGGGTGGGAGTGTGTGTGTGCGCGCGCGCGCCCGCCCGCACGTCGATTCCAGGGTGCCAAAGAACAAATATGGCAACTTTCCCCCCAAGTTCTTGCAATGTTTGCAGTAACCCATCCTGGTGAGGTTTCCCCCACTGGGGGACTGTACTGCTAGGGAGGGAGATAGTCAGGACGTCCCTTAGCCCACACCCTGCTTAGTTACTAATGGGGGGAGGGGCAGGAGAGGACGTGGGAAGGGTGGCGCTGCACTGCGAAGAAGGGCAACCCCTCAAAGTTTGGATGGATGGGATGGGGGAGGGGACCGAGCGGGATGGAGGAAGAGGGAGGGAGGGAGAGTGAGGGAAGGAGATCTTTCTCCCTTTTCTCTAGTCTTCCCTCCCCTCCTTTCCTCCTCTCGAAGAAGGTGGAATCTCCCGTCGTTTTGGGGTCCGGCAGTCAATGACAGGTTCGCCCCTTGTTGTTCCCCCTAGCATTCTGCAGAATGGGTAGAAAGTTGGTGGGGAGGGGAGGGCTGCAGCTTTGAAAGGGCACCTGAGGCGAATGGGCCATTAGACACCCAATATTGAGACGGTTTGGGGGAGGATGCGGAGGGAGGAGCTTCACCTTTCTAGTTGAGCATTCAGAACTTTGGGTGGGGAAGGGGGTGTTGAGACATTCTCATTTTTTCTAGAAATAGGCTGACTAGTGTGGAGTTTGGGTTTATTTTATGTTCATCTTTGTCATTTTTCGTCTGGATCTTCTGGCTTGGGTCCCGTTGGGAGAGGTCGCTCTCTTAAACCTCTCTTTCCCAATACATCGCGCTACCCCATCACCTGGGCTGGAATGGGGAGGGGGTCCTGAACCGCTTTTTTGTTTTTTGGCAACAACAATATTTTAACATGTTCCAATCTAGGTTTTGTTGAATAATTAGAAATGGAAATATTTTTTTCTCCCTCCCCCTTCTGAAAAAAAAGGGGGAAATGTGAGCTCTCTTCTGATTGGTGGGTGACGATTTTAGCCCGCACCAATGAGCTGGCGGCCTCGTCTGTATTTATTTAGTGCTCTGGGGGAGTTTTTCTCTTTACGCAGCGCCTGTAGTCACGGCTGGAACCTTGGCTGGGGGACTAGGAGGGATAAGAGGGGATTCGGGGGGAATCCGAACTGTACCTGTTCAGAGATCGGCGACCTTGCAGCCGTGGCTGGCGGAACTCTGATAGGGGGATAGAGGGATAGGACAGGCAGGCGGGGAGGCTCCGGGTACTGTGGCGACAGGAAAGGGGTGGAGGCTGGGCTCCGGGATCCCGGGTGCCCCTCCGCCGTCCCCTTCTCGCCCTCCACACACTTCTCTAGGGGCTGAGCTGGGGGATCGCGGACGGTCTGGAGAAATGGAGACACGAGTCCAGGGGTGCGGTGGGGCGGGCGGCGCGCGGAGTGGTGAGGCTGAGCCGCGATGGAGCGCGCTGGTGAGACCCAGCCTGTTCGGCTCCGGGGTTCGGAGACATCCTGGGCTGAAGGCGGCGGCGGCGGCGGCGAACCGAAGAAGCCGGCGTATTCTGCCCTTCGTGAATCTTTTTGCGGTCTGGGCTTGCTGTACATAACTCAATAGCCGGAAGCCCTTACCCCAAAAAGCATTCGCGGAGGGCGCACTCGTCGAGAAGACGGCAGCCATCCAGCGATCGCCGAAGCCCGCACCTTCCCGAAGCTGCTCCATCCGAGCCTTAGCCGGCCCTTTCCCCGTTTTCCACGGAAGATTCGGCCCTTTCCCCTCTGTCCTTTTGCGTTCCCGGAGGTTTTGGTCACCTGCCTTTCCTGCGAGCGAGTCCCCCGCCCCCAACTTTTTAACAGACTTTGTATCACAGGGGGAACTGGAGCAGGTGGGGTGCGTGTGTTTTCGGACAAGTGAGAAGAAGCTAAAATGCAATAAAAGTTTACAGAAGTTGTGTCTTCCCCCCAGCCCCCGCCCACACCACGAATAACCCTTCACTCAATGCAAAAAAAAAAAAAAAAAAAAGGATCTGAGCGTAGGGCCAAGTCAGAACCTGGAATATGAATCAGTTTAGAACATTTTGTGGTCGTTTTTGACCCTAATGATCCGATTCTGCAATATGGGGGTCGGGAAGCCCTTCAGGGAGGGACTAGAGGCCCTTAGTATCTTCTGTCCTGGTGCGGGGGACCCGGAGGTGAGGCGAGCCGCTGTGAATTGGGTAGCTCCGAAAAAGAGGGAAAACACCCAGGCACCGCCCGATCCCCGGAGTCTCTTCCTCCCGCGCCTACTTCCAACCTAATTTGGGGCGTTTTGCAGCCTCGGGTCTCCCCCTTCTCCTCTTTTTCAAAACTAAGTAGCACGGAAGGGGGTAAAACAGGCGAGAACTGGGGAAGCCCCCGCAGAGAAGGAGCTTTGGAGAGATGCGGTTGTGCCCGACTCAGACGCTTAGCAGGAGCAGAAAAGCAGCAGCAGCAGCAGTAGCCCCATCCCCGCCTCTCCAGGAGCCGGTCCTGGGGAGGGGGGCAAAGCTGCAGGAGGGAAGAGTCTATAAGTCCCCCTCCTCCCCCTCCACTCATTGCAGTCCTGACCACTTCGGTCGCAAGTGGCACCAATCAGGCCTTCACTACATTCTGCTCCCCGCGTCCTTAGCCTGCTAGGAACACTGCTAGACGCCCTTGCCCTTAGGGACTGGGCCAGAAGGACACACATACACACATGAGTGCCCACAGGGACGGAAACGGGTAGAAAACGGGTCTAGAGACACCAGAGTTCAAGACCCGAGGGCTGCAAACCTTCACGTTTTCGGGGAGGGCCTGAATTTCCCCCGTATCGCAACCACCGTTCTTCCAACAAACTAAACGCCCACCGTCATTACCCTGTCCGCTGGTTAAACACCCGGACTCTACCCTCTCCAGAATTAGGAAGGGCTGCAGAGTCCGAGAGTGCTGGACAGAGTCAATCTTTTGTAGCTAAGACTCTGAGAAGGCACAGAAGGCGAGCACTCCAAACTCTAAGGCTAAATCAGAGCTTTCCTCCCCAGATAAAGGAAATTTTCCCTCCCTGAATGCGTTTTCTAAAAGAGTAAAAAGGTTCCTAAGATCTGCAAAGGAGATGGAGGAAAAAGCAAAAGCTCCGGGGATTTTCCTCCCTGCCTCTCACCTGGGGCCGTCTGTGGAGCGATAGCTTTGCGGAGGGAGAGGCATAAGAACCACGTTAGATTAAAAATAGCTTCACCCTGTGTCCCTTCAGCTCCTCTTTTGTCTTTTGCTTCTTACATACCCCTCCTCTTCCCAGTCAGAAAGCCCTCTTCTCTCCCAAAGCCTGAACCTTCACCAGATTTGGGAGAGAGGTGGCCCAAGAGAAGTGAACTTGCACAGAAGAGGTTGAGCCACCGCAGCGCAGGCGGCTCAGAGTTATTGCGACCCTAGCCCCCTCACTTCTCCCTCCGAGGCTAAGTGTGAGTTTAGGGCTCCAGGGCCCAAGGAGCAATGGCCGAACCCGGCGTCGTGCGGCACCGGAGCGAGTCCTCGCCTCGCCTCGCCTCAGCCAGACAACTGTTGCTGCCTTGGAGAAGCTCCTGCTGCTGCAGCTGCTGCTTGGGGCGGCTGCACGCCTGGGGCTGAGGCTGCTGACTTTTGATCGGGGCTGCGAGCTTGCGGAAAGGGGTCTCTCATTCTGGGTGGGATCAAAGGAAGGGACCCCTTCCCCCTTCCCTTCACAATAAGTGAAAATAGGTGGCTTTTTGTGGCTTTTGGTGTCTTTCCTTCCCTCCTTTGGGCGGTTATGTCAGTCTGAGCCCTGTGGGAGCTGAGCTCTCCCTCTCTACCCATTTTGTCTTTGCTAAGGAAGGAGGGCAAAGTGAGGGGGGGTTGCCTTTATGAACCCTCAAACTGCCGATGCACATCCCACTTTATAAAGCTACCTCGCCTTTTAAGCCAGGGGCCTGATGGAAACTTCCAGGCACTTGCATGTGATGCCAACCTCTGGAGGCCCTATAGGAGAGGGAGCAGCACCTCGGGACCCCTCCTCACCCCAGGCTACTCCTTCCGGGGGTGTGAGAAGTGTTCGGGAGGCAGCTGGGGAAACTTTGTCCCCTGGGCCCAGCCAACAAGCTTAACCTTTGCCTGTGGTAAAAATCAAGACCAGGGGTTATCTCTGGAGCTATGGAAGGGTTTCAGGGGCCACAGAGTCCCCTCAAGGTCACCTGCCCCCAGTGGGGAGAGGCAGGTGGCTGGGCCAGGCGAGGCAGTTTCACAGGTGGTCTTTCTCAGGCCCATTCTGACCACACCCCAGGTGATCTGCTCTCCTGCCTCTTCTCCGCTCCTGGAGTCTGGAGCCAGATTTCCTCCCTTTGTCGGGCCCTCTTGTCTCTTCTATCCTCTTTCCCCGACCTGTGGTTGCTTTCAGTCCCTCTGCCTTGCCTGTCTCACGTTGGAGGCAAAGGCAGAAGTGTGGGTCGATTCAGATGTGCTGGGAAGGCTTGCTATGATCTCAGACCAGGGCCGTCTTCTCTGTCCTGGGGACTTTTCAAACTGGAAGGCTTTGTGGGCATCTCTGAAAGACTCTGCTCTTGCATCAGCAACCATGCCTTGGTAGCTATTAGATGTGCCCCCTACCCTTTTCCTTTCCTTCAGCCTTCCCACTCCTTGATTTCCTGTGAAATGACCCAGCCACCAATCACTCCCATTCTCCTTCTGAGCCAGCAGAGTAACCCTGCCCATCTTTTGACCTTTTCAGGTGGTCAGACCTGTCCTGACACCCAGAGGTCTGCATGAGGGAAGGCCACTGAAGGAGGAGTTCTGAAAGGCCACAGGTGGTGAAGAGCTTGGATGAAAGAACTTACAAGTCCCAGGTGAGTACCAAGATGTCAGCGCATGGTTTCTTCGCCTGAGCAGACCCAAGGGGCCTCCACACATACTTCCCACTTGATGATGAGATACAGGGAAGCCACAGATCCAGTGCTTGGAGACTGTCCTCAAAGGCTTAGTCCTTGGCAAAGGAAGGCACCCATCACAGAGGTTACATGAAAGGGCACAGTACCTATCGCATGAGGCATAGGACTGCATAGGACTTCCTGTCCTATCCTCTAAACAGGACTTGGGCCTGTGTGTTTAGGAGCTTCCAAACCCCCAGTACTGAGGGGTGTAGGCCCTATTCAAGGGGCCCACTGTTCCTTCTTCACCTCCACTTCCTGGATCATCTCAGGCCTCTCAGGGGCCCAGGGGATGGGCAGAGTTGAAGGGTCATTTGCCATGCCAAGTTTCTCTGAGGATACCAAACGTTGTTACGTCTCCTTAACTGGAGTTCAGCCTAGGATGCATGGGAGAAGTTTTAGGCTCTGGATATTTTTTTTGAAGGGTAAGGCATTAAAATCTAAATGCATTTACTTTTCCTATTAACCAGCAAAATCTCTTGCTATAGAGCTTTTGTTTAGCTGCCTTTCTGAGCTTCAAAGTCATACTGTGATTCTTATTGGGGATTTCAGTTCAGAGCTTGGCAGAGAATTTTGAAACCCCAGGGCTGTTAGATTTGTGAGGAAAGGAGAAACCAAGCTACCTGCCTAATCCTTGGAGGTCATGTGAGCCAAATGTGGGAAGCTGCCAGAAATTTTTAGAGGGAAACTCGAGGCTATGGCAGAATAGAAGCACATTACATGGAAGATCTTCAGATCATTATACAATAGATCTATTTTCTATATTAATTAAATGTCTGCTACAGGGATTGTTGGAAATTTTTACATTTTAAAAGTAGAACTTAAATAACAAGTAAATTGACTGGAATCGTCTATAATTCCCAGCATGTGAAGTGTGGATGAGGCCATCAAATTGTTAAATGAGCCTAACTTCTTTTAAGTTCCCCTTTTGAATATGAGGACCTGAAGTTTGCAGCATCTGTCTTTGGGCAATAGGGTAGTTGTTAATTCCAAGAGTTTCACATCTGCCTTCTCCCTCCTTAACTGATAGTTCAATTGCACTGGGAGGAAATCTAAGAAAATAATATGATGGGGGGTGATTTTCTTGCCTGAAAGGTAATCTCTTCTAATTACGTTTGAAAACATCCATGGATAGACTAAACCTCAAATTTAGATAGAATATGTAGCATGCCAAAGCTGGAAAGAACTGTAGAGTATATTCAGAGAGAGACTAATCTCTTCATTTTATAAATCAAACAGGTTCAGAGAGGTTAAGTGATTTTACCAAGGTCACACAGCTGGGGCTCAACCCCAGGTTGTTTATTGTGTTCTCTGGGTATTTTTTTTTTCCCACTAAGCATTTCCTATTACTACCAAATCATACAGATAATCCGTAAACATAATCCAGGACAACAGAACAGATTCCCTTTGAAAATGACTGGCATTTAGAATACCAGGGTTCAAAAAAGAGTTTAAAGAAAGTTTCTTCTGCTTGCAATTAGCATTCTGGGGGCATGATTAGAAAGTTAGGTATGGCTGTCATCTCTTGTCTCTGACATGGCCTAGACCTCCGAGCATCCATGTTGCCTTGGTCTGCTGAGGAAGGCATTAGCACAAGAAAGTTGCTGTGTCATAGAATCCCAGTATTGGTCTTTTTCAAAACATTTGCTAGCATGAAGCAGCTCCGTAAGGCATGGGTCCCTGTCTCTTATTTCTCTCCTCTGGGTGGCAGTTGATTCTCATCCTTCTTGTCTTGTGGGGTTTGACTGAGAGCTGTTAAGAAGGTAGTTAGACCCAGGATCTCCTTTATAAGCAAGAAGGCCCTCATAAGGAGGTTTCAAATGAAGTGAAGATCTGTTTGATCCTTGTCCCCAAGATATTTTTTTAGAATGCTGCAGATCACCTGCTTGTAGGACAGCTGCTTGGCCTGGTCAGTTTTAAGCTCATGATTTACTGCCAAACCCTGGATTGAACTCCACTATTTCAGCTTTACATATTTCTACCAATATCAGCCACTTCGAGCCCATATTAATCATGTCTTCAGAACATGAGAATAGTATTCATGGTGTGTGTGCTATCACAAATAAATTATTCTGGTGGCCTTTTTCACAGTCTCTCCCTGCTGTTTGCTCCCCCTACCTCCCCGCGCTTTCTGACAACTTCTAACTAGGAAATAAGATTCATTTCTCTGCTTAAAAAGCAACAGACTGGGAGGAAGAAAAATGAGATGGGGTGAAAGATACAAATAGGTTAAAAAGCAAAACAAGGCTGACAAGCAGTGGAAAGAATTAAAAGAGCAAATTCTATCCAGTCCTAACTACTCACGTTTATGAACTTAAAGACCCAATTTTATCCTCTCTAGGCCTCAATATCTCCATCTATAAAATTAGGTGCTTTAGGGGTCAGACCCCTTCCATTCATGCATTAATTCAACAAATGTTGAATGTTTATTCAACAAATGTTTATTGAGCTTCTGTACTACGTATCGGGCCTTATTCTAGACATTGGAGATATAAATAAATTATTCTTCCTTTGATAATCTGTTGAAAGCTATGGACCTTGTCCCCAGCAAAAAGGAAAAAAAAAAAACCCAAAAAACCAGGCATTTTATATACAATTTCAGGGAGCTCAGGACATCCCTAGGTTCCATGGACCCCAAGTTAAAATTTTTTTCATCAAGTGTCTAAGGCCTACATTTTACAATATGAAGGTTTGAGTTTAGGTTACATAGTCAAATCTTGGTTTTTAGTTGTTCTTTTTTTCCCCCCCAGTAGTACTTTGTTGCATTTTTATTGTGATTTTGGCCTTCCATTTTTGGAGAATAAATATTTGGAACTTAGTTAATACTGCAAGTGGCTAGAATAAATGTTGAACAGCAGCTCGTAACTGAGAGGCAAGGCAGACGTGGAGCTGAGGACAGAAACAGATGAGAAGTTTTGATGACTAATCTCAGCCTAGTCCTGCGGAATTTCAAAGAGGTAATCCATCTTTTAGGCTAAGTATTCTTGGTAAAGTCGATGGTTCCATGGAGGGAACGGAGGTTTATGTTGGAGCTGGACAGTATAAGATCACAGTGCCAGGGCTCATGGCAAAGATGGATTTCCTCTGGTGCTTTTGACTACCAGGCACAATCATAGCTGGACAGGTCAGGGATTCATTGAGAAGGAAAGACCAGTCCACTTCTGGCCCTGTTGGGTTGGTAGACTGGCTGCTTCCACGTAGTGCAGCAAGGGGCTTTATAGCAGGCAGTTCTGTTGAGATCTTCAGTGAAGGAGAAATTGGGAGGCTGAAAGGCTCAAAACAGACATGGATAGGTCTGTGTGCAAAGGTTTCACCTTGGTTCCCACTCTTTCTGAGCATTTTTCTTCCCTGCTTTCAGCATCCTCAGAATTCTTACTTGCATTGAGGAAGACCAGAACTTTTTCATTTAGGGCAAGGGGCATTTACTGACTTTAGGACTGATCAGCTACTAACACAAACTGGACTTTAGGTGAGGAGTTAGATGCTCTTATTCAGCACTCCCAGGTAAACAGCCAGTGGAAGTCACTGCTAGGAGAGGACCCTAGAAGTGAAGTGATCCATCTTTGAAAGAGCCAGATAGGAATCTGAACTTGTAAAATCTTTGTGTTAGACTGTGGGAGGACAGGATGAAGTGTGTGAATTTCTGCTTAAGGAAGAAAGCAACAAGTTGCTGCTGCTGAGGCTAAAGTACAGGAAAATCCATCAAAATATAAACTTTTCATCTTGTCAATTTCCTCATCTGTAAAATGGGGATAATGATAACGCCCTTCACCGTAAGGCTTTGGTGAGGATTAAATGAGATTATACATGTGTAAAGAGCCTAGTCAGTGTTCAACAAATGTTAGCTATTGTTATTATTATGGTGTTTTCTTTCCTGTCTGACACACATAGCAATGTCATATAAGGCTTAAATGATAGCATCAGCAGCTATAGGACCAGAGCTATTCCTAGAGTGACAGATAAAAGATAATCTTTTCTGGAAGCATCTGTCCATTTGCTCCATAGCCTGCCAGTGCCCAGGATTACCCGCTGGGAGCAAATCAGAAGGGTTGATAGAAAAATCTTTTTCTCTACTTTATGTGTCCCTACATGAAGATTATCTCTTTCTTGTTTCATTCTCCTTTTAATTCCTTGCTTTCACGTTCCTTTTAAAATCAATTGAATTTAATTACAATTGTTTTTGCAAATCACTCTTTTTGCCTTTATTTATAACAATAATAATAATTATTATAATAATTATTATTATTGTTATTATTATTTTGATTGGGGAGAAAAAGCAATTCACCTAGGATACTTTTATTTTCAGCATATATCTAGTCCTAAATTTTCAATGTTTAGGAAATT